AGCTGCAGGCTTTCACTTCCCAAAAGGAAATTCTTCTTAGCTTAGACAGATGTGGTATTCAGGATGTACATTAGTTGGGGAAAAAAAAGTTGATTAGACATTCAATGGAAGATAAGCACTCTTGTAAAGTTTCATTTTGTAAAGTTCCCAAAGATGATATGTAAAAGAAAAGAGAAGCCAGAATGTCTTAAATATATAACCGATTCTTGTCACATCATGGCTTTACCTTATAGAATGGGGCTTGGTAACTGAGGCTGAGTAGCATCCTCTAGCTCACACCTGGCTATGGACAAGCTACCCCCTGGGCCGCTGTTCTCTGTGTTCTCAGAGCACGGTGGAAGTCAGCCCATTTCCCCAGGTGCTCCACCTGAGGGCACTGAACACCACACCAACAGAGCCTGGCTCCCCGGTGCAGACGTCAGAGGCTGCTCACCTCCAGCTGCCTCGGTATCCAACATCTGCATGCTGAGAACCCTCACAGAGCTCAGAGAAACAAACAGAAAAAAACAGGCGCCCAGAGCCATGGGGAAGGGAAGAGAACAAGAGTGAAGGGGGCGAGGGGGGGGACAGGAAGGAGAAGAGCGAGAAAGAAGAGAAGGGTTGAGAACAGAGGGAGGAGAGAGGAGGAGAAAAGGAGAGGAAGGAGGAGGAAAACCAATGAGAAAAAAGGAAAGAAAGATAAGGAGAGAGAAGGAAAGAATGAAACACAGGTTCACATAGATCCTCTTCCAGGTAGAGAAAAAAGAGAGAAGGGGACAGAGACACACTCAGAGCTTGCACATGGGGACACATACAGAGAGGGAGAATAATTTCTACACACACACACACATTTGCTTCCTTCCAATCTAAGCTCCCTTCCGGAGCTGTCTCCTCTTCTGCCTGTCCCCTTTCGGGACCTTGAGAAAATGTATTTTCAGGAGTTGCTTATGGAGGTAGGGGTTTTAGCCGCAAGCCTTGCAGCTGGCTCTGTTTGTCCAGGTGTTGGAGGGAGCGGTGGTCTCCCAGAGCCTTGGGCCAGCGTCGGGTTTTCGCACCAAGGAAGCTTGAGGCGCTGTCACGCGCTTCCCGCTTCCACAAGAAGACTCGCTCCCTCCATACATAAATACTTTAGGGGAAACATACAAATCCTCATTGTTCAGAAATAAGCCAGCCGGGGAGGCCTACCAGCTCCCCTTGGCCAGGCAGAGCAGGGCAGGGAAGGAGGGAGGAAGGGAGGCGGGGGCCGTACGGATCCGGTGTCACGTTGCAGATTCCCACTAAAGATAAAGAAATGTGATCTATTTTTCAGAACAGCAAGTGGATGGGAAAGAACCTTGACAACACAAAACTCATTTACTAATGGACTGGTTTTGGGTTTCTCTTCTCTGGGTCTGCAATTCGCCCTGCCTGAGTTCCCGGCCTATTCAGTCCTTGCGCGGAGCTGCGTCCCCCAGGAGGCAGGTGGGCGGCAGCACCGGCGCCGCGCGGGCCCTCGGAACTGGAGTTCCCAAGGGTCGATCAAGGGCACCGGGAGTTTCCGACTAAGCAGAGGAAAAAGATGAATACTGTCACTTCAGCCGGGCTTGGAGTCTCCTCACAGCCTTAGGGCGATGACACTACTTTATTGAAGAAACACCTTCTGATGCCCGTCCATTCCAAAGATCTGTAGGTAGAGTAGGATCCCTGCTGTCGTTCCTGATGACAAAGGAATTTCAGGAAGCTGGCCTGAAGCCCCAAAGCATGTAGCTCCAAGCCAGAAGGGAAGCAAGTGAGTCCCGGCTAGAGATTTTTGCATCAAGGCCTGTGTCAAACCAGCGGAGAAGCTTCAGCAGCTCCTCACGGTTTTGCACTGAACTTTCCAGCGACCAATTATGCGCACAGGGCTGTTACCTGCACAGAAAAGGCGCAGAAGAGCCAAAACCCGGCGTCGGGCGCCCCTGGCCGGCCGCGCTAACCTCGGGAGCCGCGGTGCGGAAAGAGCGGCAGCTGGCTGGCTAGAGTTCTTGTTCCCTTTAAATCTCCAACGCATCTCTGTTTTTTTTGGTGCGATTTGCATTGACAGCAAAGGTTTTATGTTACCAGAACAACTCAAACCTTTTTGTGTGCGATTTAAAATGGATCATTTGGTTTATGTGGTTTGTAAATTCATGTCATTTTATCTCTTTTAGTGGCTTTCAGTGAAAGGTTCCATTTTGGGAAACTTTATATATCGGAGACAATAATTAACATTTATAACAATTGGTTCTCCTATCCAAAGAATCTAAATAGCAGGTAGGCTGCTTGGTATAAAGCTCCGCAGCGTTTTTCCTTTCTAGTTTCCCGATCGATTTGATTAAACGGGAGGAAAAGGAGTAGTGGGCCAGAGCACGGTCTCCAAGGACTTCCTCTACCCCAGTGCCTGCAGTCACAGCAGCATCCACACGGTCGTCTCCTCAGCGTCGCCAACATCCAGTAGGTCCAGGTTCCTTCTGAGGAGAGATGAAAAGAAGTGGGCAGGGAGGTCTGGAGGAAGCCGGAAAAAAGGTGGTCCTATTGGTGTCTAATTGCCAACTCTCTGCTCTCTGTCATCCCCTGTAAATTTATACCTGCCCTTATTTGTCAAAGCTATGCCTCATTTCCTTATACAAAATTGTTAATTACAAAGCACATCCCAAACTCACCATACCGTTTGTCTTTTAAAAGATGTGGCTGTGCTCCCAGACCCTCCCCTGCTCCCGTTGTAATTGTGCGCGCTTGCTCCAGACTTTAGGGTATTAACTGATTTTTAGTGGCGGGTTTAAGCCTCCGTTCCGGTCCTCACACAGCTGCCATGTCAATAAGGACTGTTCCAAGCAGAGACATTCCTTCTGGCAGGACACTGTAGCTCCTTAAGACTTCATCTGAAACATCATGCGCACTAAAATAAAACAGGGAGGGAAAATTACCAGACACATGGCCTTGGACTCAGCAGTGCCAGGCTTCCAGTTTAGAAAATAAGTCATTGGGCACACAGCGTAGCAGGGGCTCTTTTGAAATAACACACACCCATTAAATGTATTTTTAAAGTAATCCTAAATGTAATGAAATGTTACCATTTGCTTCCAAGGTTTAATTGCAGTTTTAAAGGATGCAAAAAGCATTGTGTGAGAGTTCAGGGAAGACTTAGCTCTCTTTCTACCTGGAATTTCCCAAGAGGCAGCCGCAAGGTGGGCACTCTTTATGACTTTAAAAATGTACATTGCAGGGTGCACTTGCTTGGTTGCATTTAAAACCATATAAATAATACAGAGGGAAAGCCACCCAGATATTTCTCCTCCCACTTACATCTCAATATGCAGAAGGTTTTGTGGTGCTGGGCTCTTTTGCTGATAGAATCAAAACATATTTAAAGAAGACAAGCAAGTTTAAAGAGCCTGGAGTTTGTTCTTCACCATCCCTAAGAGGGCACGTTGAAATCAAAAGCATTTTTGAAGTGTACTTAAAATTCTGTTTTGCACTTATCTAATCAGAGATAAGTATAGTCATAAAGTCACTCTCCTTCTACCATTTGGCTCCCCTTATCTCCACGCATTGTTCTTATCGCCTGCCAGTCCCAGCTACTGACAATAGATTATCTCTGTTTAGAGAGGCTAATTGTTTTCAAAATCTTTTAAATAATTGCTTTGGAACAAGGTGTGCAAATGAGGCTTGAGATAATTACAGCTTCATTTGTTTGTGCAGTTTTACTAAGCATTCTCCACACATAAACAAAATAGCAGATGATGGGACTTGAATTGCACGACATCTCTCCTTGCCTGGCAGCAAAATAGGCCAGCATTGCAATACACACACACACACACACACTTCTTTATTTAATCTTCTTGGAGCCACTGTCGTCCTCGCTTTGAGGGCAGTGTCCCTTTCATAGCTGGGCAAGGATTATGTTACAACCGGACGGTTATTGGAGCCGGGCACAGTTTTTATTTAATTTACACCCTATCCAGCGCCTTTGGTCCGAAGTTCCCAAAGCATTTTTGCTAATAGCAAGTAAAGCTTCTCGGTATTCCTCAGTAGCAGAGGTGGCAATAGAAAATGCAACTGTGCAGATGGGGAAACTGAGTCCAGAAGCTTGCCTGCTTAAATCATAGAACTTTAAGATAACCGAAACACGACTGGTGCCTCGGAGTCTATCTGTTCAGCAAGTATGTTCTAAACAGCTCCTTTCCGGGTTCCAAATCAGGGCAGTCCTTTGAGAATGAGGGAAACGCTGTCTAGCTGGGAGTACTTGTGCCCTTTGGCGGGTGTGGGGTGTTGGGGACAAGAAGGAGGGATGAGGAAATTAGGTTTGGCTCCTGGAGCTGAAGCAACCCAGAAAGAAGCCGCTTTTCCAGCGGCTGCGGGCCCGAGGCCTTGTCTGCCGCTTGAGTGT